CTGGTGAGTACAGCCAGGAAAGTTTCATGCAGGTGGCAGGAATGCAGATAGCTGACATAATTTTCCAAAGTATCTGGCCTATCTTTTTTATAATATTTTATGAATCCTAGAATAAGAGTCAGTATGTTTCTCCTTATAGAGCAAATAGACTATGGAAATGTGTTATTAAACTCATTGATTCATTTAATGATCACCTATTGAAAGCCCACTGTATATTAAATATTGTTTTTGGAAAATTGCTCTCACTTTATCAAGCTTCTGTCATACACCCAGGTATGTGCAGAATCTGTAATTTCAAGACAAGCTGTTATATTTGATGTTAGTTTGGATCCCCAAATCAGATAATGAAATGGTTATTTATGTATATATTAACATTGATAAAATATAGAACATCACATATAGCTGCTTATAATAAAAGTATTTGGGTATTAGACGTTTGCATATAATAAAAATATTTTTAGATTTTACTTAGGTAAAGTCTTAGAAGAAATTGCTCAAGCAGTCAACATCAAGAGCTATTTTGTTTAAGGCACTGTGATGGGTGGGTGCTGGAGGAGTCATTTTATATGTTTTGTGCCTCAGGCCTGGTGGGGAATTTGTTTTGTGCCCAAAACTCCCTACCAGTTTTCATGGTCTCTAAAGGCTTTTTTGGATACTGGCCACCAGAGATTCTAATACTGGCTTGTCATCTCTGAGGAGTTGCTGGGGTACACTTGGCAGTATGGATCTACCTGACTTGTGTCAGAGATGCCTTTAGAATTTGAGGATGGGCCAGTCTAGGAAGTGACTGGCTATCCATCAGCCCTTTGTCCAAAAACCCAACTTACACAATACTACTTTGAAGTATTTTATACCTGCTTAATAGGATTGTTAATTCCTCTTCTCTGTTATTTTGTGCTTTGTAAACTACCTTTAAAAATATTTATTTATCTGTTTGTTTATTTATTTATTTAGAGAGGGAGTGAGAATGTGAATGGAGTTGGGGGGGGTGGGCAGAGAGAGAGGGAGAGAGAGAATCCCAAGCAGGCTCACACTGTCAGCACAGAACCTGATGTGGGGCTCAGTCCCACCAACTGTGAGATTATGACCTGAGCTGAAATCAAGAGTAAGACACAACCCACTGAGCCACCCAGGTGCCCCTGTGGTTTGTAAACTAATAGTGCAATACGTTTACATTATAAATAAAAAGAGTTTGAGGAAAGCATTAGATAAGGGTTGAAAAAGTTTGTAGGTCACTGGTGTTTCCTGGCTGTTCATTTTCCATGTAAGAGAAATGACAAATTGGAATATCTTCATTTGGACTAAGAAACATATATTTTTATGGAACTGACACTATACTATTTAAAGAACAATTTTAGTTTTTTTGAAGTCATTTCCCTGAAAATTCAACAAAAGAAGAAGGGGCAAAACTTATTGTCAAATTGGGACAGACACAGAAAACTGCTGGAGGGAGAGTAGTTTTTGTTGGGAGGAACCAGACATGCAATTGCTTTTGCATGTTCAAATTTTTCTTCTCAGACATTTTCATCGTAATAAACTATTATTGTGCTGAGTCTATAAATAGTATTTATATGGGAAACAGACCAGAACACCATTCAAATAAAGCAGGAAACAGCATCATTAATATTTAGACAAAGAGGTACAACATCAAAATGAGAATCTGAGTTTCCTAATTACTTAAAACCAAAATCTGACTTAAGGAAACTACATGATTTATTCTTGAAGCAGTAGTTACCTTAGGGAAGCCTGTAGACTTCCAAGTTCATATGATGATGCTCCTGGGATTATTCAGACACTATTCCATGAGGCAGTGGTTGTTTTTTGGGTTGACCAGGTAGAAGGTTCTAGTGTATCCAGGCAATCTAAATCAAGTTACATCTTCATTTATTCTAAAAATACCTGTTGTTGAAACACAAGACAAAACAGTCTTGTCAGGTTTCTGCGTGCTAGATATTTTCTTAACTTTGGAAAATTTAAAGTGAATTTAGCCTCCTAAAATTTAGGCTTGTAGGAAAATAAAACATTTATACCATGTGTTATTTTTCATTATTTAAAAAAGTTAAAGATTTTTAACAGGCTTAATAAAAACTATCAACCTCTCATCTTACAAGTCCTCACCACTTAGTTCCTCACAAAGACCACCTTAAACTTTTAGCCATTTCTATTTCTTTCAAGACCAATATTGTCTTGACACTACTTCATTTTTTCCTCAGTTTTAGATATATTCTTCTCATTTTATACTGTTATGTTTATATCATAGTGACTTTGCACATCATACTAAAACTGAGTTGTTTCATTTATTTTCATGGTATTATTATATAACTGTTTTCCCAAGAGTTAGTAATAATTGCCTTTGAATTTTCTTTAAAGGAAGTGTAAATTTCCTTTCATTACATTCAGATACATTAGAATATTGATCAGTTCTATTTTTATTCTCCAGAGACATTTCCTAGAGCCTATAACCTATTGCTCCAGTCTAGATAAGATCCTCTCTGAACCTTTTCCACAACAGTTGTCCTGGAATATCTCTCTGTTGACATGAGAATTTCATTGCTTCTATGCTATATTGGATCTCCTACTTCTAGATTCTATATCTTCTTTTCTTGATTTATTCTCATATGTTGTTAGAGTGCCTTATCTAATATCTTCTCGTAAAGGAAGCATATGAAAGTAGTTTTTTTTTTTTTTTTTTTTTTTTTAATTAAAAAGCTTAGGAGGCATTGAGTTTGAAATCTGGGATTAACGTGTTTCTTAAACAGACTTTCAACTACTCTCTTTCATCTCTTATTTTCTCCCCTTCAGGAGTATTTGCTGCTTCTAATTCCTGTAGCACAAACTGTAGCAAAACCTCTTGGTTTCTTTCTCTGTAGATAATGCCTTCCATTATCCAAAACTTTTTTGACTTTTTTTTCAGGCTCACCAATAGAGTTTTCAGTGGCAATAGATAGTTGTCAGAGTGATGGAATGCTTTCTTTACCCCAAGTACAAAAATATAGTATGCTATTATGTACTCCATTGAACTTTTTACATATTTGTAAAATATTTTTCTGTTCAGTTTACTGTTGTCACAACTAGGTTGTATTGTAGCATTGTATTTTTGCAGAAATTAAAATTCAATTTTCTAAATAAAAATGTTATATTTACTCTAAGGTCATTAATGTGTTTATCAGATTAATCTGAGTATCCCATATAATTCTTTGACTTCTCTTTTGGCAACTGTGAATAAAATCCAGTATGAAGTAATCATAGTGATAGCATTCCAAACCAGTTTAGTTAGCATAAGCCAACTACTAAGTTCTAAAAAGAATGGAATGAAAAACCATAGATTGTAATTTAAAATTTTTAAAAAATATTTTATTTATTTTTGAGAGAGAGAGAGACAGCGTGAGTAGGGGAGGGTCAGAGAGAGAGAGGGAGATACAGAATCTGGAGACAGGCTCCAGGCTCTGAGCTAGCTGTCAGCACAGAGCCCGACGCAGGGCTCGAACCCGAACCCTGAGATCATTTCTTGAGCCAAAGTCGGACGCCCAACTGACTGAGCCACCCAGGTGCCCCTATAATTTTAAATTCTTGAATGGAAAATATTCTTTTTCTTAATAAGTTCTGTTATGTGAGTCTTGATTTATTTTCCTCACTTACCTGCTTTTATTATAGGTTGTAAGCCAGACTTATTAGACCTCTGGTCTTAGAAAATGTTTTCAATATTAGTATGGATGTAGGAAGATGTAGGTAGCCTAAAGAATAAAGATGTAGAAGAAGGGAAGGTTCAGAGCCTTAAATAGAGGGGTGCCTGGGTGACTCAGTCGGCTAAGCTTCCGACTTCAGCTCTGGTCATGATCTCGGTTCCTGAGGTGGTTCGTGAGTTTGAGGTTCACATTGGGCTCTGTGCTGACAGCTCAGAACCTGGATCCTGCTTTGAATTCTGTGTCTCCCTCTCTTTTTCTGCCCTTTGCTGACTCGTACTCTGTCTCTCTCACTCTCTCAAAAATAAATAAAAACATTTTTAAAAAGCTTAAATAGAAATAAGTTTTGTCTTCACCTTACTTGGTTTGTTAGTTTTGTAATCAAAACATTCCAACTTTAGTTATATTAAATATAAGGTATAGAAATTGATGTGGATGAATTACTATCTTACAATTTCCATTTGAGACTATACTTTTTAAAAAATACGCTACTGTAATTCCTGGTTTACATTTTGGTTTATTCTCCCAGTGTTTCTAGGAGTATTTGATCTTTTCCCCAAGCCAGGGCAATATAGTTCTGATAGCTTTCTAAAGCAGTGCTTCTTTAGAAAGTTATCTGAACTTGTGATGAGCACTGGGTTTTGTACTTATGTGACGAATCACTACATTGTACACCTGAAACTAATATTGCACTGTATATTAACTAACTAGAATTTAAGTAAAAGCTAAAAAAGAAAAAAGAACAGTGCTTCTCAACTTTAATATGCAGACGGATCACTTGAGGATCTTATTAAAATGCAGAAACTGAGATGAGGCTTTAGTCTGTATTTCTAACAAGCTCTCCAAATGCTGATGTTGGTGGTCCTTCTGACCACACTTACTACCCAAGGTCTAAACTACCTTGATATCTGAGTAATACAGAATACAGAATATGGTTTTAAGTATCTGTAACTATTGAGATGTTGCATTACTGGCTGCTAATAAGTACATCTAAATCGTACTGGATTTATTGCTTCTTAGAGATTTAATATATTCATTATTTGTAGGATTCTGTTTAGAAGAAATTTCAGTTATAAACTTTTATTTATTGATATAAGTTTTATACATTACACACATATACTGTATTTCCCTAGTGTTATCTGTAGGTGTTAGTTGTTGAGATCTTATTGGGTATACTGTTCTATGCTTATGGAAACATAAAACCACAGAATACATACATATTATAACTAGCCTCATTGTCATGTTTATTCCTGTGTAATTAGATACTAACAATGAAAAAAGGTTAATGTTTTTTTTTTTTTTTAATCTTCTAAATAGCTCAGTCACTAAAGGAATTTGCAAGACTACTCATTGCAGTAGAAGAAGAAAGGAGGAGACTGGTAAGTCTGTTCCTCATTTCTTCAGAATAAAACTTTGTTTGGACATATTGAAAGAAAGGCCAGACTTCTGAATTAGACTTAGCCATACCAGACCCCATATTTGATACATGTAGTAAATGTTACAGAAAAGATTTCTGAGTATGATTATCAATTAGTGCTAATGATATATACCATTTCTGTTTATTTCATTTGTTCATCAGGTGTAAATTATATTCATTTTGTTTTCCGGTTAATTCTTTTGAGAACTAAAAATATTGAATTGTCATTAGAACCTATTCTGAGTAACCTCTAAATAACTTTAGTGTTATAATAAAGATACATTCTAAGTATTAAAGACAATTTATAGAAGGAGCAAGTAATTCCTTCTTCAAAAGGTAACATTTCAGTTGGGTCTTAAAGGCTAGGAGGATCTTGGGTCTTCTGCTGGCTTGGAAGAGTGGGGAAAGCATTTCAGGTTGATGGATTAACTTAATGTGACAGTCTCACGGCATAGTTACTATAATACATTTATCCATTTACCTATTCAATTCTTGTACCCATTTTGTTAAAATTTCTGTGAAGGCCTCTGTCTATGACTTTGGCTTCCCATTTGTATATGGGAAAAGTAGTACATATTCCACAGGATTGTCATAAGCATTTGTAGCAGCACATGGTACTATGTGCCATTTACTGGCACATAGTAAATGTTGGTGGTAATAAAAATGTTGATCGTCACTTACAGTGAGGGTTCCAGCCTTGTTTAGAATGTCATCTTTATCACTGGCTTCACCATTCTATTGGGGAATTATATATACACATATGTATATAGTGCATTAAATGTGCGTTAAATGTGGTGTCATTCTGCTAATTAGATAAGGAGAACAGTTTCGGGAGGATGGCCTTGACTCAAGGAATATTGCCTGAGCTAAGGAAGAATCACACAATTATTACTTGGCAGTCATATAAATGAACTTGAGTAGAGTCCATAGGGTGGGAGAAAGTACTGTATATATTTGCAGAATAAGACAGATAGTTCTCAGAGAGTATTTAAGGATTGACTGGAAGTTTTGATCATAAGTGGGGTATAAGAGCTGGGCTAAAAAGTTTTGGTATGTTTTACAGAAGGGCAAAATTGCTAGTTATTGAAAAGAATAGGAAAATCAATGTGGGATTTAGGAGAGATTAATTTGGTGGCCATGTGAGATATAGATAAGGTGAGTCTCAGGATGACTATATTTTTTTAGGAAACATCAACCTACCATGGTCTGGTCCCAGTAGAGTGTAATCTGTGTTAGATACATATGAGCCATTATGGGACACTTACCCTTTCTGGGGGGACGGGGGATCAGAGAAAGCTTTTTTCATGGAGGGAAGTTTGATTGCAGTCTTAAGATTAAATTGTATACTTTTAAGTACTGTATTCATAATCTTCAGTCCAGTTTTATGAACTGTGCAATAGAAGTCCAAGTTTGATGGGGAGATGAGTAGGAGGTACCTTATGGCCCAGAGAGGAGCTGATGATGAAAATGGGAAAAAGTGGTTAGAGAGATGTGAAAATAGAGTTGTAAATGGTGTGGAAGCCAGGGGAATATACGATTCAGGGTTGAATGAGGTTATTATTCAAATCCTGTGCAAGTACTTCAGGAGAATGATAAGCCAGATAGCATGGGCTATAATTTTAGAAAATGTATTGAAGGAATATGGGAAAGTATGTTATAGTTTGTAGGAGTGAAAAGAGCCAAAGAAATGTGAGAGGAGTTTATAGAAATAGTTTAGAAAGCCAAGAGCAAGTTACATAAAAGAAAAGGGATTATGGTTAGCGATAATGAGCCATTGAAAGTGGACATCATAAATATGTCAAGGAAAGACTAATTGCCATGCTTTTGTAGATTTTTTTAACAATACCCAGAGCCATGGACTGAGCAGTAAGAACAGTTGGGAGGTCAGATTCAAGGGGTGAGTACAGAAGATGTGCTGGATTACAGGGACATGGATTTGTATAATATGAAAATGAGTATTGACTGAATACAGTAATAACTGATGCAGAAGGTTATTGATGGCCTTAAAAAGCAGAGGGCAAGCAGGACTACTTCACTATGTTGACAGTTCACTAGCAATAAAAGAAATTCTAAGATCAGGAAGTTGTGATCAGGAGTAGGGGTTGAAACATACTGAACTTGGCAGTGGAGTTGGTCCAGATAATGAAGAAGTTAAGATGTGGCTAAACAGGGAGACAGACTTTAGGAATCAAGAAGGCTAAGCTTAGAGGTTTGGATGTTTTATGAGCAGAATATTGAGGTCATCCAAAATGAAGACTAAAGAAAGGAGAGAGACCAACAAGAAGAAATGGCTGTGGAATGTGGTAGAATATCATATAGGAAGTGGAAATGGAGATTGAAACACTAGCTCTTAGTGTTTCAGACATCTTCATTTCTCCCTTCAGCCATGTTTCTCATGTTGGGGCAAGGAAGAAATTCTGCATTCATGAGTAAAGTAGTATTGCAGGTTTTGATTTCCTTACCTGTTGTTTCAGAGAAGTTCTGAAATAAAGAATGCAAAATAATGAAGCAAAATCTACAGATAAAAGCCTAATGGATTGCATGCCCCAAAAGATTATATAATAGTAGTTATTAAACACACAAATCTAAGTATTGGAATAAACACTTCCAGTTATATGATGTTACTACAACTGAAGGTATACCTATTAGCAGGTTATGTGCAAAGATGTGCTGAAGAATTTATTTTATTTTTTATTAAAAACATTTCTTTAAATGTTTATTTTTTGAGAGAGAGAGAGACAGACAGACAGAACACAAGCAGGGGAGGGGAAGAAAGAAAGGGAGCCCGAATCTGAAGCAGGCTCCAGGCTCTGAGCTGTCAGCACAGAACCTGACACAGGGGTCAAAGTCATGCTTAACCAACTTAGCCACCAAGGTACTCTTGAAGAATTTCTTTTAAAAATTAGTACTTCATTTAAGAAGTAGACTATTTTAAATGTACTAAAAGTATAAAGGAGTTCTGTATTTGATAGTTGTTTTTTTTCATGATAAGTCATGATTTATTTTATATTAATTGAATTTGGCCACAACTTAAATATGTTAGAACAGTGACTAAAAAATAAAATCACAAGAAGATGATAGAAGACACCTAGCAGTTTAAATAGATTCTCTCGTTTCCAGTGATTTACTGTACTTAATAAGATGAATACATCATCTAGGTAATCTAAAGGCTGTTTGCAGGGGCTCCTTGGTGGCTCAGTCAGTTAAGTGTACAACTTCAGATCACATCATGATCTCTCAATCTGTGAGTTTGAGCCCCGCGTTGGGCTCTGTGCTGACAGCTCAGAGTCTGGAACCTGTGTCGGCTTCTGTCTCCCTCTCTTTCTGCACCTCCCCCGCTCATGCTCTGTCACTCTCATTCTCTAAAAGATAAGTAAACATTAACAACAACAAAGTAAAGCCCGTTTTCAGGAAAAACACCCAAAGAAATTAGATTTTTTTTTTAATAAATGGGACCTCTTCTTAATTCCTTACTAATGAAGTATTGAGTTAAAAATTTCTGCTAAAGCAACTAAAAATGCAGTTTTAATGCAACAAGAAAGTGACTCAGAGACAAGAAGAAAATATCCACTTCAGAAACTTTTGAGGGTATAGTTTATCCTGTCTCTTACTTCCTACTGGGAAGACAGACTTCCATGATGCAATATTTTTCAATATGTTGACTGACATCTGCCATCATGTGGCTATGCAGGCACAGCTGTTTATTGACACAAATATAAGAAGTGATTTAATAGCCATTTGAGTGGTCTTAGTAAAATGTCTATTTACTTACAGTGAGGTTATTGGTATTGATTAGTGGCACGGGCTCTTTTTTTTAAGTGCATCTTTATTGAAAAGATTAAAATTTTTCCACATAGAATGCAGCACTTTAAGGATTAGAGATGTCCTAGATCATATGGCCTGTTGTAAGGACTCTGAGCCTGTCCCCAGTGCAAGGAGGAGCATCTAAGCCATATAAACTTTGTGGTAAGGTCTCTTTAGTTTTCATGTCACCATAGGAACCACCCTCATTACTTCAGATCACAGCTAACTTAGCTGTGCAAATGCTACCACTTTGGTCCAGGCTGTTCAAAATTAATTTGAATAAATACTAATATACCAAGAGAATGCCCTAGCAGGAAATGCTCATTGAGGCTTTATTGGCATTAAAGTACTGAATTTAACTTTTTTGCCTTCAGGCCCTCCTACCTGACATGCCCTCTATCTGTATTCCTGGAATTATACTCTACTCATCATTCTTTCCTTCTCAGTATGTACTTCCATGTTCTCTGCCCTCTATCCCCACTGGCTTTATTTCTACTCCTCTTAATGGTCTCTACAAGCTTCTTATGGACTCAGAAATTTTCATTGTCCTTTCCTCTGCCTTGAAGAGCCTTTCTCTGCCTTGTCCTTATTTATATTCTCTCAAGACTAATTCCATCTTGTCATTCACATGTGAGCCCAAATACTCCCCTGGGGGTCTGCACTTTTCATACAGCTTAAATTAGTCCCCTTTAATCCTTGTGTATTGTGACATAAATACCTGCTGTTACGGAGCTTGCATTCTACTGGGCAGACATTCAACAAATTATATCTGATGTGGAAGTGCTAAAAAGAAAAATAATGCAGCTGGTCAAGGGTACTGTGACTTACTGAGATAAAGAAGGAAACGGGGAGAAAATAGTTAAATTTTGAATCTACTTAGATGCCCACTGGGTATCTAAGTAGCTGTGTCTAGGGAGCATCTGAATATATGAGTCTGGAATTCAGGGGAACACATAAATTTTGAAGTTGTCAACCTGTAGAGGGAATTTAAAGCTATGGGAATGTATGAGATCACCCAGTCTGTGAGTGTGTAGACTGATGAGAAAAGGTGGGAAGATTGAGCCTTGAGGTGCCTTGAGTCCAGACTTTGGTCAGATGAGGTAGAATCAACAAAGGAGATTTTGATCAATAGGAGAACCAGGAGGAAGCTGTTTGGAC